ATTCGGAATACGTGTTTGAGTTTCATACAAGTGCAAATCACATATGTTCTAATAAATTATATTCAGTAGCGATTTTAATTGAATATTTTGATTATTTATTTATTTTTTCAAATTAAAACTGAACTTTATTGACTGTGTCCTTTTCCAGACTTTTTATTAATTTATTGTAATTAATTATTTGCATGCAATTAAAAACTAATTTTAAACAATGCCAAAGAAGGATAACTTCTCACGAGCCTACATAAGTACACGCACCCATTTTTTTTTTAATACGCAGGTAAAAAATCTATTTACAGACGACGGCGTCTTTAAGAGGCACACCGCCGAACGGACCTCACACTCGATCCCCGTTTAGGGATTCTCCGCGTAGCGCGTGTTTTGCCCTACAAAAACAACAAAAACATATCAAAATTCAACAAAAAAACTCACAAAACTCTGTTTTACTAAACATATTTGTTTGCATCAACAAAATTTTTGCCTTCCGAGCCCGATGGAAAACACTTACACAAATCGCCCCTGCACGGGTCAAGGTACCCCGGCTAACCGGGGCTGCGTTCCAAACCTACGCTCCGAGTGCAACTTTTCACTCTGACGTTTCAATTTTGACATAAAATATAGGAAACTATTGATAAATTTGAATTTGTTGCACCTGGATCGTAGTTTTCAAACGCAGCCGTGTGTATTTTGTGAACGAAAGCCACGTGAGCAGTAGACGGCCTGTGTAGAGAAACATGTTTCAGAAACAAACTTTTGTGTATGTGTTTTTATTGAATGTCTTTAAAAAACTTTTACTGAAGACCCGGCTTTATTCTTCTCCACTCTGCTTATACTTTTTCCACTGAAGCGGATCGGAGAAGAAATGTGCAATTGATACTTATTTTTTAAGACTGCTCAGCTCCGCTTATGTGGACCACACACCCTAAATGCTCTCATGAGATTCAAGACAATTTGGATTCCCAATGCATATTGTAATGATTCATATCCTTACGGCTGTATTTCTAAGGTTTCCTAGAATTCCCTTTTACTACTACACATATCAAGGCGGGATAACAGGGTGTGTATACAACGTGCTATAATAAAGATGAAACGAAGAAAAAATGATCACGACAAGTAGGTGCTAGGAAGGCCACAACTTTTACACGTGTTCTTGTAAATCTTGCTTTGTCATGTAATTACGATATGGTATATTTTTACTACAAGCAGTACTTGGAACAAGTTGAGATTTTCAGAATAGAAAAAAAAAATTGATAGATAAAAACACTATGCAGTTTATAATGCTTTTATATAAAAAAAATACAAATCCCAAGGCTCAACTCACATTGGCGCAGAGTCGTAGCCAGGCGACGCGTCATGTTTTTCGCCTTGAAATACCTAAATAGTGGGTAAATAGAGATGGACTTTCTACTTACGCAAGTCTGTGGATCGATTTCAGTTATAAATAAAATTAGGTATAGAGGTTCAAAATAAAACAAACGCACCTTATCTTATTAAGTATTAATATACTACACACTTGTTACAGTGTATTTTTTCCATTTAGTTTGCAGGAGAACTCGAAGCACATTTGTGTTCCAAGTAAGTTTTTATATTTTTAAGTTTCTAATATATTCACGACCTCCGTGACCGAGTGGTATATACGTTGGGTTTCAAGGTGTCGCCTACTCGAGAGGTCCCGGGTTCGAATCCCGGTGGAGGCAGATGTTTGTGTGATGAATACGAGCATTTTTACTCCAATCATGGATGTTTAATATGTATTTCTATATAAATATACTTATATATGCATTAGTATAATTATGTATTCTATCCATTACCCTAGTATCCCATAACACAAGCCTACAGTGCTCACTTTGGGGTTAGGCTAATTGGTGTGTATTGGAAAAAAAGGAGGTGGAATTTAATATTTTTTACTTTACTTTTTCTAATAAGCAATTAACGGTCCAGTGCCTCTGATAACCTGACCAAGTCACAAAGTACAGTAGATATAGTCTTAATGAAAAAACTTTGTGCATTTTCAATAAGAGAGTCCTTTTAAAACTGTAATTTTCCAACGTTAACGAGCTAAATTTTATCGAAAATTAATTGCGACATCTTCATTGGAAACTTTTCACTCGAGTTTGATACCTAAATTTTCTTCGTTGAAACTTCCACAATGCTATGTGTCTGCCGTGGAAGATGGAGGGGGTAAATTTTAAACAAATTTTCCCTTCAATCAACCGTAGATGAGAGACAATTTCTGAATTAATTAATTAAAACGTGTAATTATCATTATATTGAAAAAGTAAAGGGACACAACACCTAATAAAAGCTTTTCATAATTTCTAATAATTAATGTTTGCTTATTACTACGTAAGAAAGAATTTTATAATTGAAACCTGCTCTAGAAGTGAAACGTTTCATAATTTTTCTGACGTTGAGTTTGATGTGAAACATATGAGATCAGATTGGATATTAAAAAAAAAGGTAAGGCCCTATAGCTAAGTAGACAACTTAACATCATCAGCCTATTAATATCCCCACTGCTGGGGCACAGGCCTTCCCTATAGATGGAATAGGGAGATTAGACCATGAACCACCACGCGGATATGCACATGCAGCCGGGAACAACGGCTTTGCGTGCCTTCTGAAGCATACAGGAAAAATTTACCATTTCGATGTAAATTTTTGGACACCCATCCATTGACCGACCACTGTGAAGTTGCTTAACTTCAACGATTGCGGCCGAACGCGCACCGTCGAGTTCCTAGACGACTGAAGTGCTTTAATTTGCATGAAAATTGAGTATGTCATATTTTGAGTACTCAAGAGTGGTGAAAAAGCATTGGCCCCAGCCACCTCGTTATATTTCTATTGTTTGTTTTTACAACTTTATATGCCACAATTGGTCATTTTTATTAATTGCGATTTTCATCCAGTATCGACAATAGTGACGCGAAGAATTAATTAATAGTGTCAAAGTAAGAGCTTAACACTCTCCCATTTGGCATGATTTTGGCATGCGAAGTACATACAATTCGGAGTGTATTTTGCCATGCTAGATTTAGTATTTAGTAGAGCTAGAAACGAGTTGGCGAGCAGCGGGAAGCTAGTGTGTAGTTCCTTTAGTTTTATCGGATGGTTAATTAACCAGTGTGGGAGACATTAGGGCCATTACTAGTGTCATTGGCTCTCGGTGACTGTCTTCAGCAATAATGCACGCGCACGCGATTTGACGGCCAAGCAAGCATCACTCAGCGAATATTATCTTTGCTAGTTCCTATGACTTAGTGATAATTCCAACGCGTACAAAGAAATTTGGTGACTCATTTCTTTGTCGCACTATCCGTAAATGGAATGCTCTACCCGCTCACGTGTTCCCTCCCTCTTACAACCTGGGATCCTTTAAAAGAGGCGTGAAGAAGCAACATGCAGGCCGGCAGGGTGAGGATGGCTGGTGTGGCAGGTAGAACTGCTGTGTCAGCTATCTTCGCGTCTGGACTTCACCTTCACTTAACATCTGTCTGGGAGTCATTTGTCGGACATATCTATAAAAAAAAAACTAGTGGAGCTAGTTCTTATCGGCATGCTGTAGTGTGAAAAGTCAGCGATGAACTATTAACAATATGCATCTACTTTGTTTACATGGATTGTAGGTACCTAAACTATCTATCTTTTACTATGAGAAAATAGCCGATAGTTAGTCACATTCTCGCCGGCGGTGGGAAAATACTGATTTACCTAAAGCTTCCAGGGCTCTAAATGGTTCGTAGTTCTGTCCTACAAAAGGGGGGCGGCGGATGGTTCTTGTTCAGGAGTCCCTTCCGCAGCGGATGGGGGCCGGTACGGTGGGCACTAGGCCTCGTACCCAGCCCCCAAGCGCGGGCCTACCTGTGCACGTCTGCGGGGTCCCCGTAATACCTCGGGAGACCCCTGCCGTGGAGCCCCGGCGAGGCCGGGAAGCTGCTGGGTGTGGAGCCGTGGTAAAATCCCTAACGGGGACCCCGCGGCTTCGCATTAGCAGTGTAAAATGTATTCGCAGGACTTTTGTAGAGGATATTATGCTGTAAAGCACCCGTAAGAGTTGCGGGGTCCTGGGTGGGCAGCCATTGGGGGGGGTCCGTAAGACTTGCGGGAGCCAGGTGTGAGGTCCGTTCGGCGGTGTGCCTCTTAAAGGCGCCGTCGTCTGTAAAAAGATTTTTTACCTGCGTAATAAAAAAAAGGGCTCTAAATAGTAGGGGATGGTTTTAGGGTAAGAATATGCAACTGATACTCTTTAGTGTTGACTGATGCTTGATAAATACTCTTACGTAAAACAAAAAATATTACACTATTTGTAATTTTTTGTTATCGGTAACCTCTTTAGCTCGTTTCAAAATGCAAAATTTTATTTATAAGCCGTATGCCAAAGATACAAACAATATATAATATTTCGCCTCTCACAAATAATGATGAAGAACATCAAGATAATTACAGCATTCCAGTCTCTAGAATTTCATACGTTGTCTTTATTAATACAGTGAAAGGTTTAGCCGCAATCTTGGTCCTTCTCTCCTTCAATAAGAGTCATTAAGCAAATTAAAATGTAAGCCCGCGCGAAAAGGGATGCAAATTCTATGCGGTCCAACCAAAGGAAGGAAATTTCGCCACGCGTCAGCCCTTTTACGTTTTACCTACCCACCTGCTTTGGATATGTAAATTTATTTTTACCCTGTTTTAATGTCAGCCTTATCGATATAAATAATACAATTCAAAACTCATTCCTGGTACTAAATCCCTTAAATTCAAATCATCGTTAGGGATTACAAGTTTAAATCGCTTCTATGTGTATGGGCTTGAAAGAAGTTGCGCGCTTTTCGTGATTGTGTGAGTAAATCACCATCGGTGTGTACATCATTTACAAGCTTCGTAACTGCTGTTTTCTCTTTCACTCCCGGGGAATGGACGAGACTTTAGTATGTGAGTGAGTTCTCGCGAGCTCGCCTTGTATGTGTGAGTGTACAATCCGGGACCGTAGCCCCCGCCAGTGCCGAGCAAGCCGTAGCGAACCTACGACGCGTACTCCGACTACGGCGTAGTCCGATGCTTTCTGTTCGGACAAAAGCCCCGGTGGGTCGTGACGATTTGTTATTTTTTTTGTTAGATGTGAATAAAAGCGTTCTTTTGTGACATCCTCTCGTGAAAGCAGACTGTACCCTTACGCTTCTTTGTTGGCGCTAGGCTGTTGTCATGAACGTTTTATGCAATTTTTGAACATTAATTTGTCGGATGACCAATTGGGCCGGTTTAGACGTGGTGCGGTGATTGAACGCAATGTAAATTATTCGAGCTCACACTGTGCCACCGGACTCGAATTGTTATCGTCATTTTAGGCGGTTTTTCATTCAAGTGACATTGTGCTGGTGTTAACTATTAATAAGACATAAACATAAAACCGAGTGATGTAATGGAGCTACAAATTCATCTAGTTCTTGTGAAGATAGGTAAATATTTATTTAAGCTTAGTTAAGATTGTATTAAGAAACGAACTCGGGTAATTTCTACTTGTTGTTGTTTTTATTTTATTGAATATTTGATTCTTTTCAAAGACACACATTTAATAGTTGTTTTGCACTTTTTTAATATCCGCGTAATTGGGCCGTTATTATTTTAGTGTTTTTTTTTTTACTTTGTGTAATTAATACTTGTTGCAATAATAATGACATTACCTCTTTATCTTATTTATACTTTGTTCATTACTTTATTCTAGATTAGCTTCAGTTTCATCTAGTTAAAATTTAGTTTTACATAATCTTAATATCTATTGACTGGATTTAAATTATTTTAAAATTTTATTAAGATTTTATGTTTTTAATGTTTAATAACTTACTTTAAATGGTTTTTTACCTTTCAGAAAAATAATTCATGCTTCTGAAATTTTTAATATAACATATTGTAAATTAGTTAAACTAGAAAGTTTTATAATTATAAAACACTTTTTAACTATAAAGTTAACAAACATATTAAATCTAATAAAACAAATTATTTTTTTAAACTAATTATTCATTCTAGAGTATGCATTACTTTTTGTTCTTCCAGGAGTAAAAATAATATGAATGTAAATATATTTTATCTATATTATAAACAAGCAAAAACTCATTTGACATAGGTTGATACTGATTTGTGTATAGGTATCTACGGTCTGTCGACTCAAATCTTATTATCAGATATTAATCTGTGCATTTAGATATATTATTAGAAGCATATTTTTTATATTTGTTTTGCAACTCATAACGCAGATAATAATATATGAATGCAGTTGGATGGAAGATTCTTCTAATAAATGAAACTCTAAGGCAACGGAAAATCAAACAACTTTTAATAGGTAGCGTAGAGCATTTTTTGCTCGACTTGGAGCACTCGTTTGGGGAAGTAATCTCCACCTTACAGAAGAACATATCATCACCAGCCTATTAATGTCCCTAATGCTGGGGCACAGGCCTTCCCTATAGATGGAAAAGGAAGACTCGGCTGTGACCCACCGCGGGCCGAGTTCGGATTGGTGGGTGCTAACGACTGCAGATGCAGCCGGGACCATCGGCTTAACGTGCCTTCCGAAGCACGGAGGAGCTCGAGATAGTAATTTTTGGTCACCCATCCAATGACCGACCACCGCGAAAGTTGCTTAAGTTCTACGATCGCAGCTGAACGCGCTAACCACTTGCGCCATCGAGCTCCTCGAACACAGTGTAAAATAATCCTTTTGTTTCTCTTGGTAAGTAAGGTTTTAGGGCTCCACGGGGTATGGTAGAGTCAGGGTAGGCAACGGTGCGAGTTGATATACCATCCGCCGCCACCGCTTACCATCAGGTGGGTCATGTGCTTGTTTGCTACCCCTTTAACATAAGAAATTGGTAGGTACCTTTTCCGAGTTTCACCTGGAAACCACACGTGGAGGTGTCAGAAACAAGGTATTTGCTGCTTATGGTTCCCTTAGTCGTTTGCGGAACTTTTTGCCGATCAGCACCAAAATAAACTTGGAAAATTCTCTGTTGTTGTCCATCATCGACTACGCTGACGTTTACTACACCGATCTGTCGAAGAAACTCCTCAATAAATAAGAGCGACTGCAGAATGTTTGTATCAGGTTCATCTATAATCTCCGTAAATTCGACCACATGTCTCACTTCTGTAATAGACTTAATTGGCTCCCTATTCGCCGGCGCAGAGATCTACACACTGTAACGGTTCTCTATTCTATACTTTTCCTGCAATCTTCTCCAGCTTATCTTAAGCAGTGATTCTCATTTCTATCCTCTTCTGCACAGCTCTCGCTGAGATCCTCTTCTGACCTACTTCTCGAGATTCCCTGTCACTCTTCTGACTTTTTTTCTTACTCCTTTTCTGTGCACGCTGCTTGACTGTGGAATTCACTCCCTGAAGGTATCAGAAAGGCTCGTACACCTAATTTCTTTAGCCATCAAGTTAAAGGTATTTCCTTTCTTATCTTAAATTAATTTTACATCTTATTTCTTTTTTACCGCTTATATTTATGTAAGTATAGCTCCTGTATCTACTTTTGCACCCTTCTTATGTTTCAATTATTATTATTCCATTTCCTCCATATGTTGCCTGGAAGATATTGCTGTTTAGCAATAAGGTCGCCTATTGTATACTCTTCTTCATTTTATAAGTTTATGTCTTGTGTCCTTTGTTGTGTGCAATAAAGAATATTATTATTTTCTCAAAAAAAAATCTGATTAAGTTTCTGTAATGATAGAAAAATCAAAATTGTCGCCTCGACTAAAGGGGTCGTATTCGTAATTTTGCATATGTATTTGCACTTATTGATAACCGAGTCTTAATTACTAAGTGGGATGGTGTTACATGTAAATAATTATGAGCCATGGATTTTTGAACTAAAAAATTTGGCTGCTGCTCAAAATACAATTCAAATGGAACATCATACAAATCTGTTTCATACCCTAAGAAATGAGAGAGGCTTGGCTTGAGACAAAGCTGAGCTTTCTTGATAAGATATGAAAGCCCTTAGGCACCTCACGCAATAGACGACCACGACCAGAGGCCGGAACGACTTGGTTAACTAAAGTTGGCCGTTGCGGCTACTGTCCGTATTCGTACTATGCGCTATGTGCCTTATCAACGGATAAGTGAGTTTCCGGTGTTATGGACGACGATGTACTGCAGTCTGACATAGCTTTTTTAACAGTAAATTTATCCAAACTGATTATGGGAGTGGTATTTAAAAAAATCTTCTGAGTTAGGCAGTTTTAATTCATGCTGTCACATTTTTAATTTAACGAACCAATAAGTCTTCGTTTTTGAAAAAAAAAAATACGTGCAACTATACACAACCACTACATTGTACGAAGCGAAATAAGGACCTACTCTTTTGTTAAGTCGGATAAAATTAAAATGAACAAATTCCACTCGAGAGATACCTTATAACATGAGCACACTGCATATACAAAGTGCATTCAAGCAGAAGAGGCAATTAGGATGTTCCACTCTAGATAATGTTTGTTGATAAAACCGGCTTTCTATTTTACTGAAACTTTGTTCTTAAAACACCTACTCGTTTATTCTTGCTTATACCCCAATATATTTGTTAGCAGTAGTTTTGTATCAAAAGAAAATTTAATAACTTTCGCCCAGATAAGTTAGAGTGATACATAGCTTGACAAAGACCAAGTTGAATATTTGTCAGGAGCTTGATGGCGCATGTGGTTTGCTCATTAGGCTTGCGATCGTGAAAGTTAAGCAACTTTTGCAATGGTCGGTCACTGGGTGGGTGGCAAAAACTTATTAACTCGATAAATAAATAAAACTAGTTTTACGGGTTAATGCACCTTCGAAAGACTTCGAAGGTAGCTCGACAATTTTAAATAAAAAATCATTATTCTGACGATGCAGACCTGAAAAGGCTGCGAAACGTCAATAAATAAATAAAGTTTCGTGCATTAACCCGTAAAAACTAGTTTTATTTATTAATGTACATATATTAATAAAGATAAATATATTTAAGTAAATAGGCATATCCACTATCAATAGTTGCTGCCATCTTAGCTAAGGTTTATACTGCTAATAAATTAATATAATCACATCAATTCAAAATACATAATAAGCATGATAACTGACATAGGAAATCATTGTTCATTCAACTCAATGAATTCGGTAAAACGGAATAGGAATTCAATAGATCACTCGGCCGCTCTTGTGTTGAAAATTCACCCTCATCACATCAATCACTGGGTTTTTGTAAATTATGTTCGGTCGAACAATTGAAATGACAGTTTTATTTAATGAGTGATGTGCGTGAAAACCTAAGAAACAAATATTATTATCTCGAGCTAATCCGGGCTTTGGAAGACTCGTTAAGCCGTTGGTCCCGGCTGCATTTGTAGTCGTTAGCACCCACCAATCCGAACTCTGCCCGCGTGGTGGGTCACAGCCGAGTCTTCCTTTTCCATCTATAGGGAAAGCCTGTGCCCCAGCAGCAGGGACATTAATTGGCTGGTGATGATGATGATGATCTACGGATTTAGTTGGTTCGAGATCTCAAAATGACAGTAACAGCTCGTACGGAGTTTAATATTGCGGTGGTTAACGGGTTCAGTCTGCAATTAAATAAGTTTAGCAACTTTCACAATGGCCCGCTACAGAATGGGTGACCAAGAATGTCCAGTCTCGAAATCCTTTATGCTTCGTGCACTAAACCGTTGTTCATGACTGCATTTGCAGTCGTTAGTATCCACTAAAACACCCGTGTAGTTGGTAATGTCCCGTTTTCCTTATCCAGTCTATTAGGGTGTGCTTGTACCCCAACAGTGGTATCGTTAACAAGCTGCGATGATGATAATAATGATGGGTTACTATCCTTTCGCCCTCTAGAGGAGAATCCTATTAAATTTAAAGTAGGTATTCTGATAGCAATGTGGCAAAGTTAGTGCATGATTGATTGGTTTTAGCTCGCGTATTGTATTTTTTTAACGCAATTAATTAAATTTTTTGTAGTTTAACTTTTTTAAAAGTAATAATCCAACTTCTTTTAGAAGTTTGTAACTTAATAGTGATCACATAATGAAATGATGATGTTAATATGATGAAATCTCAAAATGAAGTACTGTAACGTTCGTGATGTTACAACCTCCTTGTTTAGGTAAACTCTTTGCTTTTGCAATGCCTACGGTTGGCAGTTATATTAAAAAGTTAATGTCATGATTTTAAGATTTGAAATAAGGAATCGTCTGTCTTTTTAAAACTATTTCTTTCTTGATTTAAAAACATTCTTCAGTTCAAGTACTAGAATCAACGCGGCGCGTCCACCATATGGAGTTCTACCCAGAATGGATAGACCCTGGGGACGTGCTTATTAATTAAAAGATACTGGTAGAGATAAGTTATTTATTTCATTCAGGCTAATATAAAGAATTTTATCTAAATACGAGAGGGGAACCTTCTATCAAAAGACAGACGATTCCTT